TGCAGAGCTCTCCCACCCTCAGGTCCACCACTGTACAATGGCTCCTTGACTTCTACCTCAGACTTGGTCATTTCTGGAGGTTTAAGGTTCCCTGAGCTCTGTGTTGGCTCTAACAGTGATGGCTGTCCTGCTTCATCCAGGGAGCAGGGCATTCTCTACTAGATGTGCCCAGAGATCACTCACAGCCTGGATTATGCTCCAAAATGCTCTGCAGTGCCCATTTTAGCCCTCTTTTAGCCCAGGCAAAGGCTAAAGAGCATGTGCAGCTGTGGCTGTGTCAGCACACCCTGAGGTCAGAGAAAGGCTGGAATGGTGCCAAGCAGCTGGAGCAGATAACCCCCAAACCCAGCCATAACCACATCAGCCCTATGCAACTCTAAACAGTGCCCTGATTTCTGACACTTTCATGAAAAAAAAAAAAACCAACACACTTTTGAGGGGGAAAAAAATTGCATCAGGCTCTTAAAAAAAAAATCGATTACACATATTTTTACAGAGGATTAAATTGTTAGAGATCAACTGATTTCTATTCCAAGTTGTAAAAGGTAAATATTTAGACTTAAAACAGTAAGAGTTAGACTTCTGTTTGGTGTGCCAAGCATCTTCAGCCATTCCAGTTTTGCTTTCCAAAGGATGAGGTCCTTTAAAAATAGGTATCATGCTGCAGTTTTTAAACCACATTCCCCTTGTGTGTCATGGACTGTGTATCAAGAGCTTGTTATCTGTGCTCCATGAAAGAAACAAACCAGCACACCAGCAACTCCAGGGGCAATAGTGTTGCTGGGAAATAAGGAAGGAATCAGATCCATATCAGGGCATCACTCCTGGATCCTGAATTGGGCTTGGATAGTGTGTATTTAAACCCACCTACATCATTACAACTTTAACCACCACCTTCAGTCCTCCAAAACTCCTCACCAATGCCAGCACAGCCCTCTAACTGGGGAGGTTCAGGTTGGATTTGGGGAAAATTTCCTCAGTGAAAGGGCTGTCAGGCACTGGCACAGCTGCCCAGGGCAGTGGTGGAGTCCCCATCCCTGGAGGGATTTAAAGGACACGTGGATGTGGCCCCTGGGGACAGGGGTTACGATCGATGTCGGATGTCATGAAACAACTTCATGCAAATTTACCCTCTCGCTATTGTAAGTCATTAAAAATTAAATACATGATAACCACCCTGGCAGTCCCAATTTGCCAGTGTTTTCACCTGGTTCCTTGCCATCCCAATTTCCTACTGTATTTACAGAAGGAAATGAAGAGATGAGCATTCAAATGTTGTGATCGATTGTATCAATGTGGCTCCACTATGGCTGAGAAAACAGTTTCACAATGACAAAACCAGAAAACTAACACTGAAACACAAACTCTGTGTTCAGATGGGCCCATCCAAGTCCCACTGAATGGCAGATGACTGATGTACTGGCACAGTGGAGAAGTTACTAATACAATAAAACTATCTGTAAATACACCAGTGGCAGATGTTGATGTTGACACACTCGAGGCTGTGCCAACTTGTGCATTTAAATACTGAGAAATCTGAGGTTTGCCAGTCTATAAAGAGCAGTAGCAAAGAGAGACGGCCTCAGTGCTGCCCTGGAGCGCTCCCAGCCAGGAGGGAAAGACGTTGCCTAATTAATTCAAGACCACAGACTCAAAAATGTCCCAATGCAGCCAATAAAACTGAGGAATGCAGAGAAATCCGAGGCACTGGCACAGTTTAACAGCCTCCACAGTAGGTTACACTACTGTCTGTAGTGTACACTACACGACTGTCCCTCTCAATCACACCAATCCCAGTTTTTAGTTTTCCTAGCCCCAAACTCCTGCTTTCCCACAGTCTGCCCAGAAACTCAACAGGTATATCTCTTCAACATTAAAAAAAAAACCTTCCTTGAAAAGCAAGTAACCGCACCTAAAGCTGTGAGTATGGAATTCTGGAAGCTGCTGGACATCTGACAGAGGGAAAAAACCATTTTGGCATTTCTGACACCACAGGCTTGGGAGCATGTGGTCCTTTACACTTTCTTCCCCATATTTATTCTCCTGAGAAAGTGTTCTGCCTGCTGCCTTAAGACATGGAATCTTCAATCGCCATCCCCAGTTTCCTGCACCTGAGAGGGACTGATCCATGGAGCGTTCCCACCCTGGCTGCCGAGCTGCTCACCCTGGTGTGTGAGCTCACCAAACCATCTGCCGTGCACTGCACACCTCTGGAAGGATCCAACGCTGACAGAAGTGACCAAAGGGACATCACTCCTCCTGGTTTAGATGGCAAGGGCAGTAAGGAAAACAAAAAGTGCCAAATTACACTTTTTGTGATACTCCAGGCTGTTTTATCATAGTGCTAAGAACAGTCACATACTTTTGGATGTGACACAAGTTTATGATTTTAAATTGGAGCTTCTCTGTTAACAAACAGAAAATAAACTCCCCCAGAACACTTGAGAGACAACAAGCCTCAAGCCATCTCATGTATGATTGACTTAATAGCTACAATAAATACATAGAAGCCAAATTGTTAATTTGGCAACCAGGCAGCTCTCACCTAAAGCTGGGTGACAGAGAAGCACAATTTGTATTCCAATGTCTCCCTCACAAATAAGATTGGACATTTTGTAAACAGTACTACAGGAGCAATACTCACACGGTTTAACCCAATAATTAAACCCAGTTTAATGCTATCACCAAGAGGTGAAGAGTAAAGCATGGATTAGGTTTTCAATTAGTTAGCAGAATACTACTGCTAACTCTCAGCTGTCTGCAAGGGAGCCCCACAATCCAGAAGTGGGGGGAAAGCAGGGATGGATAATTCCTAAAATATTTCTCCACTGCAACAAGTCTAAACAGCTCCATAATATCAAATGCTGCTCATTCCTCAGAAAATTAAGAATTTAAGGTCAGCTTTGAAGGCCAGTTATTTTCATCAACAAGCAGAACCAAGCTGAGGTTCAACAACATCCCTCCTCCAATCTCTTTCCTCTCTGTCTACACCATTATTAAACTGTTGATCTATTCAGAAAAAAATAGGTAATTTAGGGATTTAGGGAAAAAAGGTAGAAGGAATTCCTTTACTCCAATACTTCTTTCTCACATGTTCCCAGAACTGGTGCTGCAGTAAGAGCAGATCCAGGACTCCTTCTAGGAAAAATACAGACTTGAATCTTGGTTTCTGAAGCTCCTTTCCCCTTACATTCTTTTTGTAAGCCAGAGAAAGAGTTTAAAGAAAGCTGCAGAAATTCACTTATCCCAACATCTATTTCACATCTAAGACTGATGGCTTTCCCATGGGTGCCAGCCACATTTCTCCTGAATGGTTGGGAGCCCTGAAAATGCCAGAATTCTGGTGTAATGCCCCAAGATGCCCAACCAAGTCTCTGTACTCAAGCCATTACCACACATCACTCTTACCACACAAAGCACCATTGGTAAAAGGGAGACCTGTGCAATTCATTTTGCCAGGCCTGCATATGATTTCCCCTCTAAGACATGACAAGTGGTGCTTTTCTTGGCAGCTGCAGCAAGGCTGGGGCTTCAAAGCTTTGAAGCCACAGGTCAGAATTTTAGCCACTGAAGAAGTGAAAAAACACCTCCAATGCAACATCTCTGTCCCTCTGTTATTATAAAGTCAAACACAAAAACAAGGCAGTTATTAAACATTGTCAGTGACAGTTTGCAGGGTCAATAAGGTTTAAAGATGTTCAAAAGCTGTCACTGTTGAAAGGAACCATCACAGAGCCAGACCCAGCCCCAAAGCTCATAGCTGACACTCAGCTCACACTGCCCAGGGAGAATTCCTCCCACCTCCAAACAACTGACAAGGTTAGCCCTTCAAACAAATACACATTTTAACACAAGTTATGCTGCTTATCCATTTCTGCTGCTGTCCCAGTGAGCGCCTCTGTCCCCGCTGACAAGCCAAGCGCCAGCTTTGAGCTTGACGTGATGTGTAAGAAAGTCAAATGACCTCATTACACAAGTTTTTAATGAAAACACGGATGAATACAAATTAGAGTACCTCTGCAGGGAACTCCTATGGCAAATCGAGCCTTTGTCACTGAAATGAGTGACTTATTTGATTAAAGAACTTTCCCTAAGCAACAGTAATTGCCCCCGCACACCAGTCACGTTCTTTCAAACGCAAGCAATTCCCTTTAATCCTTAAAAGCCCGTATGCAGTGCACAGTTATTACACAGAGCTACAACCACTTCCAAACGGGGCTGGATTATGATTTATCATGCTGGAAATCATCTTTCTCCACTAGCTGTCCTACGGATTTCTGCAGAATTAGGCACTTGATACAATTATTTTCCATAGGAGAGGGTCGGAAAAACAAACAGCTTACAAAAATCCCGAGGAGAACACTGCTCAGTGCTTGTTTTTTCATACATGCACTGTGGCATGGAGTTGGTGCAAGGGAGGCAAGTGATTCTGGAGAGGCAGCTACCGCGGACTGAACGACTTGGAAAGGAACAGGTGCTAAATTCGTATGGGAAGCGGCGAGAGGGGGTGCGAGGGAAGGAGGCACATCCACAGCTCCCGACGCAGCGTCTCCCTGCACCTGCCGCCCTGTGGGAAGCGGCATTTTCCCAGGAGCAGGAGTGGCCAGGTCGCTGCCAGCACCAGCTCAGGAGCATCACCCCTCGCACCCCCCGACGCGCGGGGCTCCGGCGGAGACAAAAGACCGCGGACGCAGAGCTATAAACCATATCCACCACCACGTTTTACGGAGGGGGCGATTCGCAGCCTCAACAATACCGGCTCCTGACCGCGGTAATCGGCTCTCCCTTGCCGAGGACGGCGTTGGGCAGTGCCGCGCTCCGGGGCTGCTGCTGCGGGGGTGCGGCTGCGATGTGTGCGCTGCCTCTGCCTGCAGCTGCCCCGCACCTAACACCCCTATGTGCATACATACACACACAGGCACGACAGATGCCATCGCCCCGGCGTGCAGCCCCCGCGGCCCGGGGCGGCTCCGTGCCCGCGGCCCTGCACACGGGTCGGGATGCGCCGGGGCCGCCCTGCCGCGGCTCCTCCCGGACACCCCGACCCCGAGCGGCTCCTCCCGGACACCCCGACCCCGAGCGGCTCCTCCCGGACACCCCGACCCCGAGTGGCGCCCCCCGCCCCGCAGCGCCGCCCGCAGCCTCCCCTCCGCCTCCCGCCGCGGGTCAGCTCCGCTCCGGCCCCGGCCCCGGCCCCTCCCGAGCCGAGCCGAGCCTTGCCCCGGCCGGCCCCGCAGGGACAGCCCCGCCCGGCCGGCCCCGCTCACCGAGCGCCGCCGGGATCCGCCCGGGCCCCTCCGGCCGGCGGTGCCGGCGCTGCCGCCGCAGCCCCGCAGCGCAATATGGCGAGCGGCGGCTCCGCAATGGAGCTCGGGAAGGAGAGGGGAGTTACATATTCATGGCCGGGGCTGGGCAGGGGGAGCGCGGACGGGGCCGTCAAACGCGGGCCGCCCCGCGCCCTCCTCCGCCTCCCTCCCCGCCCGGCCCGGCGCCGCTCGGTGCCTTCCCCGCTCTGCCCGCATCCCCGGCCCCACCGCCTCACAGCGCTCCCGCTCCGCTCCCCCGCTCCCCTGCCTCTCACGGGGATGCGGCTCCGCTCCGCGCCCCCGACGGCCCTCAGCGGGGCGGTGGGCAATGAACTGTGCCAGGGGAGGCTCAGGGGGGACACCAGGAGGAATTTCCTCATGGAAAGGATGCTCAGGCACTGGCAGGGGCTGCCCAGGGAGGTTTGGAGTGCCCAGCCCTGGAGGTGTCCAAGGAAGGACTGGCCATGGCACTCAGTGCTCTGGGCTGGGGGACAGGGTGGGCATCGGGCACAGGGGGGATCCATGGGCTGCGAGGGCTTTTCCAGCCGCATTGATCCTGTGATTCCCACAGCCTGCAGGAGCTCCGTGAGGAGCGAGGTTGTTGGATGGCAGTGCCCTGGGTGGAGTGGGACCTGCCTCGGGCAGCCACTGATGCCCCAGAGCCAGGTGAGGCGGTGGAGAGCGGGGATTAGGTTTTCTCTGCATTATTAAGTTGGTTTTGGGTAAGAGCGGCTCCACCAGCCACAGTGGGCTGAACGTGTGTCCTTTGCTGGGCTCCTCTCCCTGAACTCCCCGGCTCTTGGCCAGCCTGGCTCTGGCCACCATTCCAGAGAGAGGGATGTGCCTGCAGCTGGTGGGCCGTGAAGGGAGCTGGAGCCCAGGCAGGCAGGGCAGCGTGGAGCCAAGCCCAGTGCCAGGGCACTGCCACCCTCACACTGCTCCCACACGATGGACACTCAGGCACGGCTCGTCCTGCTCCCATTTACCATACAAAATTACACATTCCAGCCTTTTCAAGCATCCCTAGCCCACTCCACTGTCATAACGTGAAATAGGCATTTGTCTTCCAGCATCTGCCTTTTAATGTTTGTTAAGATTGTTTCTATGAGCTTTGGGTCTTTGATGGTGCCTTTATTGGTCTTGGCATTAACTATTTTACAGCAAAAGCAAAGCAGCGTGCTTAGGTAATTAAATGTGGTGTGGGTAAAAAGTGAACAGAGATCACCTTGTGAGGGTTCAGAGTTGTCTTTGTCCGGAGGTTGGTGCTTCACGTAATGATGAAGTGTTTTGCTATGAAATATGCTTTCCATGTTTTTTCTCACTGCCTTTTGTTCTTCTGATAGTCTGTATATCCACGTAGAGTCAGGAGGAAGAGAGGGGAGCACTGAATTATGCTTTGGGAAGCTATTTTTGTAATTACTTAATTCAATTCCTCGCTCTAAACCAGCTCACCGTCACCGGTTTCGGTCACGTCGTGGCTGTACGAGATGGAAATCGAAGGTTCTCACGTACCTGTAGTGCTGATGTCAAGAGGCATGAACCAAGGGGTAAAGATTCAGGAGAGATACAGATTAAAGCTTCATTCTGGGAGAGTGCAGCAATAGAAATGCCCAGCTCTCTGTCTACAACCATAATCTTTTCTCCTCCAAAGCCCCCTTTTTGGTAAGTGAGCGTGAATGTGGCTATCAAATGGACTGTTTGTGTAGATTTCCACACAACGTGGTCCACGCTTTCCAGCAGTTGGTTTCCCTATGTTTATATGTTCAGCTTTTCTGTGGAGGGATGTCATCACTTTCATCATATGCTTTGAGGACAGTTTTTTCCAGAAATGATTATATGTAGCATGGTGCTGGGGGGAGGGGGGGAGGGAAGTAAGCACTAAAATCCTTACTTGCTCTCAGACAAAGTGAGAGATTTTGAGACCTTGCACGCTGAAGATTCTGTGGAGCTTTGCTTTGTACATATCTTGAAAAATACGTCTTTTTGCAGCTCGTCACTCTAAAACCTGGTGATACTGAACCCCGTGTTCTTGGCAGCTTTCATCTATATGTGGGGCTTATTCTCTGTCAAATATAAGCATTCATTTTCAAGGAAAGATAGCCAATTACTGTGTCCACACACCCAGCACTGACTTGGAGTCTTCAGATCATATCTATACCTACCTATCTCTATATACATATATATCTCTATATACCTATCCATGTATATCTACAGTCTTTGCCCTTTTCCATCCTGAGTTCAGTTCTCTTCTGTCGCCTCTTTTCATCCTCAGCCTTGCAGTTCCACTTCCCCCTACTGGTTTATGTTCCCTGAGGCCCTGTTAGCTTTCTGCTACCCTTTTTCCATAGTGACCCTTTAGGGTGGCCTGCCAGGGTTCAGATGGGTGGCTTTTCAAGCTCTTAGTTGTACTGCTTGATAATCTATGAAATCACCTCACAAACTAGAAAAATCCCACCTGCAGTCATTTCCTGGCTCTTGGAAAAGTAATTGGAGAGGGGGGAATGATTAGACTGAGTCAGCATTTCAAGTAGGCAACATGTTGGTGTAGAGGATTTTTTGCTATAGCTCTGTTTTTGTTTTGAATATGCCTGTGGTATCTTCTAGGAGGCAAAGATTGAATTGTGCTGGTTGTTGAAGCGAAATGGGAGTTTGAGACTGTTCAGGGGTTTGGAAACATTCCACTGATGAAATCCCCAATTTCTTTACGAAACCAGTCCTGGAGGATGAGCCTAAGCAGTGTGAAGGCAGTTTAAAGTGTAATGCTTCTCAATTTCAAAGCACAACGTGATGTGGCTGTCCAACTCCCGCTATGTGTTTCTTTCTTAGTAATTGGGGAAAACAGAGGAAGAGAAGTACCCAATTTTTTTTCTGGACCTAAATGATGAAAATGAAGATACAAACAGAACATAATCTTTAGGTCTCTTGTTTCATTCCTGCACTCCTTTAGTTGATGCTTCCTGAAAATTTGAATGTGCTGTAGAGTTTTTAGCTGACAGCTGTTGCTTTCACAAAACCTGGCAAATAGGGAAAACATCTGGGGAGCAACGGGAAGAAAAGCTGCTGATTGAATGCACAGGTGGGTTTTCAAATGCATTTTATCCAGGCTGGGATTTTCCCTACCTGTCCACCAGCGATTGGCCTCGTTTTTACCCCGAAATGTCCATTCCCTCCCCAGCAATGTCCCTTTTGTCCCCTCCAGAATATCCCCCCCCTCCCCCGTCCTCCCTCCAGTCCGTTGTGTCCCCCCCCACCCCCGCCGTGAGTGACGCCCCGGGAGCCCGCAGGGGCGGGCGGAGCCTGGGGTGGCCCGAGCCCGCAGCTCCCGGTGCCGCCGGCTTCTCGGGAATGCCAGCGGGACACAGATCCCTGCGGCGGGCCCCCGCTGCCGGGCCACTGCTCCCTGCGCCGGGCCACCGAGCCCCCCCGTAGCCGCGCTCCGTGGCCAGGCAGCCCCGCTGGGTTCATCGGTGGGCGGTGCCGGTGTCGGTGCCGCCGAGCTGCAGTTCCGGGGGTTTCCCAGCAGACGGCAGCACTGAGCGCCAAGACCTACGGCGAGCGCGCGGCGGGCGGGGCAGCGCGGGCCGATTAACGAGGCCCCGCTGAAATCCCGGCCCAGATCCCAGAAGCGCAAAATTCAGGGGTGACGGAACGCTTAAAAGAAAAGTCTGAGAAACGTTTTGAGGTGAAACATTTTGCGAAGAAACGAGTGAGCGGCATTGTAACGGTAACACGGGGGCCACACTCAAGATGGCGACGTGCTGAACGGAAGTCATCCGAGGACACACTCAAGATGGTGGCGCCACCACCGGAAATAATCGAGGCCACACTCAAGATGGCGGCACACTCACAGGAAGTTATCGAGGCCACACTCAAGATGGCAGCGCCCTCACCGGAAGTCCTCCAAACCTACAATCAAGATGGCGTCACCCTCACCGGAAGTCATCCGGGGACACACTCAAGATGGCGACGCGCTGACCGGAAGTCATCAAAGGCCACACTCAAGATGGCGCCTCCCTCACCGGAAGTCTTCCAAGCCTACATTCAAGATGGCGCCGCCCTCACCGGAAGTCCTCCAAGCCTACAAACAAGATGGCACCGCCCTCACCGGAAGTCCTCCGAGCCTACAAACAAGATGGCGGCGCCCTCACCGGAAGTCCTCCGAGCCTACAATCAAGATGGCGCCGCCCTCACCGAAAGTCCTCCAAGCCTACAATCAAGATGGCGCCGCCCTCACCGGAAGTCCTCCAAGCCTACAATCAAGATAGCGCCGCCCTCACCGGAAGTCCTCCAAGCCTACAAACAAGATGGCGCCGCCTTCACCGGAAGTCTTCCAAGCCTACATTCAAGATGGCGCCGCCCTCACCGGAAGTCCTCCAAGCCTACAAACAAGATGGCACCGCCCTCACCGGAAGTCCTCCAAGCCTACAAACAAGATGGCGCCACACTCACCGGAAGTCATCCGAGGACACACTCAAGATGGCGGCGCCCTCACCGGAAGTCCTCAAGCCTACAATCAAGATGGCGCCGGGTTTTGCATCATCGGGTTTTGCAGCCAAGAAAAACAAGGACAGAGATGAGGGAATCGGTTTTCAATTAATAATGATTTGATAGGTGTACGAATCATTGCCGGCCCTTCACAGTTCCCGCGCCGCGCGCCTCGCCCCGGCCCCGCCCCCCGGCTCGCCCCGGCCACGCCCCAGCTCGCGCCGGTCCACGCCCCGGCTCGCACCGGCCACGCCCCAGCTCGCGCAGGCCCCGCCCCGCAGCTCGTGCCGGTCCCGCCCCTGGCTCGCGCCGGCCCCGCCCCTGCCTCGCGCAGGCCCCGCCCCCGCCTCGCGCCGGTCCCGCCCCAGCTCGCGCCGGTCCCGCCCCAGCTCGCGCAGGCCCCGCCCTCAGCTCGCCGGTCCCGCCCCGCCTCGCGCCGATCCCGCCCCGCCTCGCGCCGGTCCCGCCCCCGGCTCGCGCCGGCCACGCCCCAGCTCGCCCCGGCCCCGCCCCAGCTCGCGCCGTTCACGCCCCCAGCTCGCGCCAGTCCCGCCCCTGGCTCGCCCCGGCTCCGCCCCTGGCTCGCCCAGCTCCGCCCCAGCTCGCGCCGGTCCCGCCCCAGTTCGCCCCGGCCCCGCCCCCGGCTCGCGCAGGCCCCGCCCCCCGGCTCGCGCCGGCCACGCCCCAGGTCGCCCTGGCCCCGCCCCAGCTCGCGCAGGCCCCGCCCCCGGCTCACGCCGGTCCGCCCAGCTCGCGCGGTCCCGCCCCCGCCTCGCGCCGGCCACGCCCCCGGCTCGCGCAGGCCCCGCCCCAGCTCGCGCCGGTCCGCCCCCAGCTCGCGCCTGTCCCGCCCCCAGCTCGCGTAGGCCCCGCCCCCGGCTCGCGCCGGCCACGCCCCGAGGTCGCCCTGGCCCCGCCCCAGCTCGCGCAGGCCCCGCCCCGGCTCACGCCAGTCCCGCCCCGGCTCGCGCCGGCCACGCCCCTGGCTCGCGCCGGCCACGCCCCAGCTCGCCCCGGCCCCGCCCCAGCTCGCGCCGTTCACGCCCCAGCTCGCGCCGGTCCTGCCCCTGCCTCGCGCCGGCCACGCCCCCGGCTAGCGCAGGCCCCGCGCCCCGCCTCGCGCCGGTCCCGCCCCGGCTCGCGCCGGCCGCGCCCCGGCTCGCGCAGGACCCGCCCCGCCTCGCGCCGGTCCCGCCCCCAGCTCACGCAGGCCCCGCCCCCGGCTCGCCCCGGCCCCGCCCCAGCTCGCGCCGGTCCCGCCCCCGGCTCGCGCCGGCCACGCCCCTGGCTCGCGCCGGCCACGCCCCAGCTCGCCCCGGCCCCGCCCCCAGCTCGCGCCGGTCCCGCCCCAGCTCGCCCCGGCCCCGCCCCTGGCTCGCCCCGGCTCCGCCCCCAGCTCGCGACAGTCCCGCCCCCGGCTCGCACCGCCTCTGCCCGCACCCCTGAGTCCACAGCAGCCTTGTGGAGTGCTTGTTGCTGTACCTGACTGTGGAAGGGCAG